GATAGATTGATACTATCAGTAATGACACTGAACGTCATGGATTAGTTACAGCAGTTTAAAGACAGAGTAGCAGGACGGATAATAGGACCCATCAATATGCACTCTACAAGAGACATACCTTAGACACACAAAAATGAACCAAAAATGGAAGGATCTTAATATCAAGTTACTGGGGCATTAAAAAAACCAGCAGTAGTAATATTATTAATTTCTGAAAAATTAGACCTTAATGCAAAAATGAGCATAAGAAACAAAGGAGGGCATTACATAATGATTACAAGGTCAAGTGAAGAAGAGGCCATAACCATACTATCTATGCATTCAATGAGAAAACCTCAGAAACCAAAAATCTAAGACTGCTAGCACTGAAGAGAGAGACAGACAACTCTACAACACACTAGTAAGAGACTTTAAACAACACTCCCCACGAAGGACAGAACCACTAGAAAGCCGCTCAACCAAGGCCCCAAGAACTGCACAGTACAGTCAACCAACTTGACCTCAGAGATGTATGCAGGATACAGACATGTACATATGTAAATATATTTATGATTATGGGGGAAATAGATATACCTATGTGCATATATTTATAGGTTTAGTAGTAGGGTAGCAGGTGGACATTGGGCCTCTTCACGCGCATTCACTTAATACAAGAGCACTTTGCTCAGCTAAACAGTCATTCCATGATACCCACCCTCCCAACATGATAGCTCAAGACAAATGTGTGCATAAACAAACATGATGAAGACAGCTGATGGTGCCCGGCTATCAAAAGATATAGCATCTGGGGTCTTAAAGGCTTGAAAGTAAACAAGCGGCCATGTAGTCCAGCTGGACATCCCTTGCAGAGGGGTAGTGGGGAGGAGATGAGTCACTCAGGGTTCAGTGTAGCATTGATGAAACTCAACCTTCTTCTAGTTCTTAAACGTTTCCTCCCCCCTGCCACCCCTATCATGATCCTAATTCTACCTTGCAAACCTGGTTAGACCAGAGGATGTACAGCGGTGCAGATGGGAACTGGAAACACTGGGAATCCAGGACAAATGAACCCCTCAGGACCAGTGGTGAGAGGGGCGATACCAGGAGGGAAGAGGGAAGGGAGGGTAGAAAAGGGGGACCGATTACAAGGATCTATATATAACCTCCTCCCTGGGGGATGGGCAACAGAAAAGTGGGTGAAGGGAGACGCCGGGCAGTGTAAGATATGATAAAATAATTTATAAGTTATCAAGGGTTCATGAGGGAGGGGGAGTGGGGTGGAGGAAAAATGAGCTGATTCTAGGAGCCCAAGTGAGAGCTTTGAGAATGATGAGGGCAACGGATGTATAAGTGTGCTTAACACAATTGATGTATGTGTGGATTGTGATAAGGGTTGTGTGAGCCCCAATAAAATGATTTAAAAAATAAGTTTAAAAAAGTTAAAAAAAAAGAATGCCTTTGAGTCACCCTTCAGGTGTGAGGTTGACCTCTCCCCTGTGGCTCAGTTTTCAGCCAGCCAATAGACAGGGCTTTTAGGGGAACAAAAAAAACGCTAGGGATGTATCTCTTCCTTAGAGTCAGGGACCATTTGCGATCACAAGGGCAATGTTTGCCCAGAAGTTAGCAAAGGAGGCAGCACGGAAACGGAACAGAGGCAGGAAGGCAGGGTAAGTGTGGTTACCTCGAAGGAATGCAATGCAGCAACAGGTGTATGGATCACCGAATGGAAAACTGATGACCCGCTCTGTCGGCCTTCATCCAATTCACAGTAAAAACAGAGGGAAAGAGCTGGGGGGGGGGGGGGAGGGGGACGGAATGAGAAGAGAAAAGGAATTTTCCCACTAACATTTTGGAGCCCCTTTGTCTATGAGCTTGTTAGGCTCTTTGTTCGTAGTCCTCCTGAGCAGCACTGCCCATCCGCCAAAGCAACCAGGCAGACAAGGGTCACGGGACAGGCTGGCACACCGGACGTACGTTTGGAAGTGCGCGTGCTTGCCCACTTTCTCTTCCAGTTTCTCCAGGAAGCTCAGGTCTGTCGCGGGCCCAGGCCGGATGCATTCTTCGTCCTTCACCAACGAGAGAGAAGCCTCACTCCCTGGCGCCACACCCCAACCATGCCACGTCGCAAGAGCGCTCACCAGTTGTGGCAGAACGCCGCGGGCTAGCATGCCGTCATCTCAGACAAGGGCAGGTGGAGCGAAGAGGGCGGTGTATCTATCACCTGGGCACGGCTCCCCAGACTCCATAAGGGGGCCGTGGAAACAGAGGGTCTGGAAATCCCAGGAAAAGTCAAGTGTCCCATCCCATCAGACCGTTGTATTTCCAGTCTTCTCAGATACACACCCCAGTCTCCATGGCCTACCTGCTCACTGTGTGCTGCTAACTCATGGTGACCCTAGAGGACAGGGTAGAACTGCCCCCTGTGAGTTTCTGAGACTAAAACTAAGTGGTTCTCAACCTGTGGGTCATGACCCCTTTGGGGGCTGTAGGACCTTTTTACAGGGGCCGCCCGATTCATCACAGTAGCAAACTGACAGTGATGAAGTAGGAACGAAAATAATTTTATGGTTGGGGGTCACCACCACGTGAGGAACTGTATGAAAGGGTCGCGGCATGAGGAAGGTGGAGAACCGCTGCTCTAACTCCTTATGGGAGTAGAAAGCCTCATCTTTCTCTCATGTCTCAGCTGGTGGTTTCAAACCGCGGACCTTGAGGTTTGACGCCTCATGCCCAGCCACAATGGCGCCAGGGGTCCTCCATGGCCGGTTTACGTAAGTCCTACTCATCCCTCATTTTCTCTGAGCTGGCCATCGCTGTGCCTTCTTGCCCCATGTCCAGGTCTCTGTACTAGGAGCAAAGGTCCCACAAGGAACGCACAAGTGGAATAGAACCATGTGTGGGCGTCTCTCTCACTCAGCTGTGTGTTATGGGTTGTGTGACACCCCTAACAATACACCTGCAAGGTCTTCCGGAGCCGCCCGCTGTCAGACCCGTGCTCTGCAGCCCTCCCCAGGCTCAGCTTTCAGAAGTAGATTGCCAGGCCTCTCTTCTGAGGTGCCCTGGTCAGACGCAAGCCCATTAGCTGTTTGCGCTCGGCCGGAGGCTTCAAGCAAGAGTGGAGCAAAAACCAAAACCCCGTTTGCCGACCCTTCAGTAATGAACCTCAGCGATCATTTTCTCACCAGAATGGAAATGATGCCTTTGTGCCTCTCTTCCACCAAGTCGCAGATGACCTTGTTGTTGAAATACTGGATGGGCTCCCACTAGGGTGACAAAGGGGAAAAATAATTATCCAAGAACAGTCCTGACGAGCGTAAACACGCACCAGCGCTCCGTGACGTGGACTGACCAAACATGGTCTTCGAATCCGATTTGGACACCCAGCATTTTAACCACGGTATTAACACCTTCTGCCAAACTCTTTCCCAGGAAACGGGCAGAGAGAGGCTCGAGAAGAATCCGTCGCACTACTCAAGAACTCACCAGTTCCAGGGCAGGTCTCACGTCCACGCGTCTGTCCGTTCGCTGGGTGAGGGAAGGAAGGGGGAAACAGCAGGGCGTTTACCTCTATACCTTCCGCCTCGTATTCTGCCTGCTCCGCCTGTAGCGTCCTCTCGATGAGCAGTTGCTGCAGTTTCTCGTTGCAGTAATTGATACAGAACTGTTCAAAACTGGAGATGCAAAAGGTTTCAACAACGACCGCGGCGCAGGCATACAGACCGACTGCTTCTCTGCAGCTCGGGGCGAGCGAGGATGCTTGTTAAGAAATGCAGAGCAAGGTCCTCGCTAGGCAAAGCGTTTACTGAACGAATGCCCCCAAGCAGGCGAGCGAAGAGGCGTTTGCGTGGTCTTGGGTTACTGCAGTTCTAGAACAGTCTGTAGACAAGGGCTGGGGAGGGAAACTCAATGCCAGTCACATGAGAGGGGGTATCAACCTCAACTAAGTAACCCAAAGGAGGGACAAGCAGGGACTGCCGAGACTCACCCATTCTTGTCAAAGACTTCGAACCCATAGATGTCCAGCAAGCCAATGACGGTTTTTCTGGTGAAATCCTAGTCCAAACAGCACAGAGCGTAGCTCATTAGCTCCTTGGCTTGGTGATACTCAAAACCCCGTGGCTTTTCTAAAGAACACACTTGTTCATGGGGTCACCGTATGACCTGGTCTTCTTAACCATAGGCTGTAAGGATGATACGGAGGTGGTGTCTGACACCCCCCCCCCCCCCCCGACTTCACAAGGGGAAGGGAAATCAAATTCCCCATCAGCTCAAGACAGATTTCCTACACGGCAGGGGTCACACTTGCTTTCCCCCTCC